TTTTTTTTTTATTTTTTGGACAAAATTTTCTGTTTTTATTTTTTCATGATTCAGCATTGAAAAATACATACAGTTCTAAATTTTCACCCTTATACGATCAACCCCTGATTTTTAATCGCGATTTTTATATTATTTTGTTCCATCCACAGTTCCACAAGATGGCAACACAACGTTTGCCGGGTCAGCTAGTTATATATAAAAAAACAAATGATCAACTACAGAAAAAAAAATTGTACAATGATAAATCTTATAAGGGGCAGAGACGAACCGTATTTTATCAAATATTACTAAAAAATTCGGTCATAGGTGGCTCATGTCATTTGTTTAAAATAAAACATGTATGACAGATCACACATATTAGGTTTCCAATAATTAAAGTTTTATCAGCTTCCGTATTGCAATTTGACTATATTAGTTATAAGATTTACCATTGGACAAATTTTTATGTAGCTGACCTTTTTTTTTGTATAATTTATTGTTTATCAGTTAGTATGTGGTGTGAATAAAGCCCATTATAACAATATTTTAAAAGAATATTTTTCTCGGTGTGATTTAAACAAATTAATACATTTTCCTGTTACATCATACATTGCATATTGAAGTCGACATGTCTCGAAAACAAGTAAATATTGGGAAAAGTTTTATATTACAAAAATTACTCAAAAATCCAGGTTCCAGGGATCAACAATTTTTTTGGTATCCGCACCATCTGTACAGAAAGATTTGAATTAACAATTTTAAATGCAACTTGAAGCTAACCTTGAGGGACCTAACAACCCAGTTTCCGGAACTAAAACAAATTTCTTCATTTCGGAGATATTAGCAGCGGGGTGTTAAATGGCACACCCTGTATACATAATTTAATTTTGAAGCTAACCGAACACGGTGCTCTTTCCAAATGAAATACTAGTCAATTATAATACCCAAAAAAAAAATATTTTTAATAATAATGTGTCATTTTCATTAACTACACGTTAACGTATTAGAACCATTTTTAGAACACACGAGTTTGTTACGAACGATTTATGATTAATTAATGATTGGTTGACGAACATGTTTAATTATTATTTATTTCAAAGGTTCCTGAGGACTTATCTGAATGAGAAAGTGATTGATTTCAATGTTAACAGGACCTTCATGTACTATGTAGGTGAGCGATATTTGAAATAATTGCCTTGTAATCTGATTCTTAACTATCTGCGACAATCTAATACACACATACTCACCCGGTGACTAATCCAGTTTTATTCATTATTGCAAGTAATGTATATTTAAATTAAATTATACTATTTTTGCTTCTTGATGTACCTAATATTTAGACCTATTTACCTAAACTGTGGTACTTCCTGTCCAACTCGTGAATATGAGCGTCTTCTATCTTCTTGAAGTAAGGGAGGACGTCTTCCCAGCACCATCCGTCCACACCCAGATCTGCCCAAATGTCGTAGTCCTTATGGTTTCCTCTGGTGTACAACATGTCGTTTATGGCCGTGGTGCCTCCAAGGGCTCTCCCTTCTGGTATCGAGCATCTGTTGTCCTCCGCACCTATAAAAGTTCTCGTTTTTCACCTACCAGCAACTAATATCGTTTAATTTTAGTCCATACCTAGGCAAGATTTGTTTTGGGGCACCGTGGTGAACCACCAGTTGTAGGGGGTGGTCTGTAGGGCACGGTGCAACGCTGGTATTTGTGTAATTTTTGTCTCGGGCGCCCCTGATTCCAGAAGAAGAACCTTCCATTCCGGTATTTGTGATAGTCGGTTCGCTATGACAGCTCCTGACGTTCCCGATCCCACGATGACGAAATCAAATTCTTCTGGGTCTGGAATTACAGATAGACCAAGCAAATTAAATTTTTACTCGAAAAAAGTCCTATCCGCTAGATTATTGTAAAATTGTCTAAAGGAACATAATACAAGACATCTCTCGTCTCGTGAGTCAAAAACTTTTATTAGCTAACTTTTCTATTTAAACAAATAAGTGAGGAAAACAGTTTTTTCACTTTGCAGGGAAAAGCATCAATAACTATCGGATTTGTTGTTAAAATTTTATAAAACCTATGACAATTTGAGGGTTTTGTCATACTATAAAAGTGTGCCAAAAGTGGGCGCTGTAGGTGCAATAGTTTTCGCACAATTCTATTTGTTTATAGCGGAGGCTCCAAAAGTTATGAACTTTAAGCCTCTGTACAGACGTTAATTTTCAATCAAACATGATTCTGAAAGCGTCATTGTAATCTTAAAGACGCAATTAAGCGACCTATTAAAAAATATCACCGTTTTTTTGACATTAACATTCTCAAATTGTGCATTAAAAAACCGTGCGTTTTTCGCTTATAAACAATTTGAATAACATTGTTGCTATTTATGCTATCTCACCGAAAATAGATGCAATGGATAGCTGGCAAAAAAATACAGTTTTAAAATAAAAAAATTACCCTCTACGACCAACAGGAGCGAAGATAAAAATTTTTTTTTAAATCGTAGCGCAATTGTTTATAAATATTAAGACTTGAATTTTTCGCAAAATAAAGTTTACGACGTAAACTACGATTTCCCGTGAATTGCATTGAAAAATGTGGAAAATTAACGACTCACGAGCCCTTTAAAGAGAAGGTACTCGCTAAGTAAACTGTCCGGCGGCGTGGTGGTGGGGGAAGTGCGCGCTGTAAATTTTGCAATATCTCGGCTTCTATTCATCGTAGAAACTTTTTTTTTTATTTTAAACTGGGGTAGCTCGACGAAAAAATAACAATGGACATATTTACGAATTCATAGAATAGCCCTGAACCCCAGAAAAAATGCATCTTTAATAATTAATTTTTTTTAATTTACAAAAATGCCACATAAATTATTGTTAAACGAAATATTAATTAAAATTTCAGTTTCGGTATTATTTTACTATTATTAAATAAATAAATGAAGCTATCGTTCATTTAAAAAGTTATTTCTTTTACATATTAAGGCAAAGTAAACTTGTTTTTTCAATATTTTGTTAGCTATTTAATTACGATTTAAATGTAAAATTAAAGTAAAAATTCACAAATTATTTTCAAATTATTATTTATTGTTAAAAGATTTAAAAAAGAATAAAAAGCATTTGAATTTATTGCAAAATTCTCAAAATTAAAAAATATTAAAAATAACGCGGTCGATAAAATTACAATTTTAACTTCCTGAAATTTTAATATATAAAGTTTTTTTATTATATTTATTACTAATTTTATAAACATAATCAAAATTAATTCAAAAAATATTAATCACAACCATTTTCAATAATAGATATAAATAATGCAATATAATACAATTTAAAATTTAAAATTTTTTCTATTTTTATGAGAAATAATAATTTGAAAATAATTTATGGATTTTTACTTTAATTTTACATTTAAATCGTAATTAAATAGCTAACAAAATATTGAAAAAACAAGTTTACTTTGCCTTAATATGTAAAAGAAATAACTTTTTAAATGAACGATAGCTTCATTTATTTATTTAATAATAGTAAAATAATTCCGAAATTGAAATTTTAATTAATATTTCGTTTAACAATAATTTTTGTGACATTTTTGTAAATTAAAAAAAATTAATTATAAAAGATGCATTTTTTCTGGGGTTCAGGGCTATTCTACGAATTCGTAAATATGCCCATTGTTATTTTTTCGTCGAGCTACCCCAGTTTAAAAAAAAAAAAAGTTTCTACGATGAATAGAAGCCGAGATATTGCAAAATTTACAGCGCGCACTTCCCCCACCACCACGCCGCCGGCCGCCGGACAGTTTACTTAGCGAGTACCTTCTCTTTAAAGGGCTCGTGAGTCGTTAATTTTCCACATTTTTCAATGCAATTCACGGGAAATCGTAGTTTACGTCGTAAACTTTATTTTGCGAAAAATTCAAGTCTTAATATTTATAAACAATTGCGCTACGATTTTTTAAAAAAAGATTCTTATCTTGGCTCCTGTTGGTCGTAGAGGGCACTTTTTTTATTTTAAAACTGTATTTTTTTTCCAGCTATCCATTGCACCTATTTTCGGTGAGATAGCATAAATAGCAACAATGTTATTCAAATTGTTTATAAGCGAAAAACGCACGGTTTTTTAATGCACAATTTGAGAATGTTAATGTCAAAAAAACGGTGATATTTTTTAATAGGTCGCTTAATTGCGTCTTTAAGATTACAATGACGCTTTCAGAATCATGTTTGGTTGAAAATTAACGCCTGTACAGAGGCTTAAAGTTCATAACTTTTGGAGCCTCCGTTATAAACAAATAGAATTGTGCGAAAACTATTGCACCTACAGCGCCCACTTTTGGCACACTTTTAAAGTATGACAAAACCCTCAACTTGTCATAGGTTTTATAAAATTTTAACAATAAATGCGATAGTTATAAACAAATTAAAAAATGGGCACTTTTCTTGTTTTTTTGCAATAACTTTTTTGTTTATTAACCGATTTTAATTTAACAAGTCTCATTTTGTAGATAATTTTACTCCCTATAAGCTGTCTGAGAGTCACTTTTCGCTAAAATTGATGGTTTTCCCTGCAAAGTGAAAAAACTGTTTTCCTCACTTATTTGTTTAAATAGAAAAGTTAGCTAATAAAAGTTTTTGACTCACGAGACGAGAGATGTCTTGTATTATGTTCCTTTAGACAATTTTACAATAATCTAGCGGATAGGACTTTTTTCGAGTTTCTCTTTTATTTTCGCTAATTTTCCTGGTGTAAGAGGTTATTCGCCACCTACGTGCACTCGATCTGAGTGTTTACAAAGTCTAGCCTACATTTATCAATCTACAAGTTCGAAATATTTACAATTAAATTAAACTAACCTGTCGCATCGTGCGCAGCCAAGTTAAAATCTTCCGGGTGGTACTCGTATTCTTGCGACAATTTTTTCAGTCCTGCTATGCCCTCTTGAAATTCCTCGATGTATTTCTCGGTAAGTTGGAAAGGCGAACATGTGACTGTCGATATTAGGGCGAACACCCACAGGAAGGGTTGGTAACACGGCATCGTGGCTAAAACAATGTGTCGGCTGGATGGAAATCCGCTTATATACAACCGAATTTTGCACGATAAATATTTAAAAAGTATCGTTTTGACGAGAATTGTTAAAATATGTGAGATCATTGTTCCCACCGTTGTCTAAGAGAACATTTTTTTGCGTTTAACCATATGTAATAATAAAATTTCAAGTATTCAAAATCATCGTGAGCATTGTTTAATATTTTTCCCTAATTGGTTCTTTTGTTTCAGTTTTTTTACAAGCGACTGATCCTAATTTGATTATAGCCTCGGTTTTTTTGAGATGATAACCTTAAAATTAATCCCATTATTGTTACTACTTAACCAGTTATTTTCACGCTTCATGGTTCGATGGTTTAAACTTATCCGTTGCTCCGGATATTTTGAATTTCCCCAAACATTAACAATGTAAGATGGATAACATCGTGTAAATAATGTTACTACACTGTGTTGATAATTTTTTAAACGTTCTTAGAACTATTATTGCAGCTGTTAACCTATAATTAAGCTATCTATAATATGCACGCTTTACACACCCTTCAGTCTTGTTTAGCTACTTTCGTTTCTAGGAAGTGATTCAAGGTGATTCGAATAATTGCTCTTTGTTTTCATTTTTAATAACGAGATAATGACTAATGGCTTTTCAGGTTTCCTAAGCGAGAGGCATTCGTTTCCAACAGTTAATTATAAAATAACAATATTATAATATTTTTTCCGTAATTTCGGTTCCTTTAAGTTGAATTGAATTTAATGAGCTTGTAAACACTGATAAAAAAACAAACTCCAATACACAAAACGGTTGTTCAATGCAACAAATAAACACCTATAAAAATGATAACTGTCCAAACTATCTGCGTTATAAAATACATAATTAAAAAACATTTCCAATAACGTCGCCTATTATTAAACTTTACGTTGCCAAGTTCCCGTCTGTTTTTAGGTCAGATTCCTTAAAAAATAAACTGCGCTTACCTCTTCCCGACCAGCAATACGGAAAGGACAGAAAACTATAGCCAGCGGAAATGCACTTTTTTACAATATCTGTAACTTTTGTATCTATACAAGACCAAATAAAATCTTTAAGTGGAATATGACTGTCCCCAGCCTCCAATTTATAGACTTGAGCGCTTGATGGTAATGGTAAGTTCTGCAGCCTCCTCCCGCTCCATTGCAGTTTGTTTTTTTTTTACGAGACTTTGCGGTGGATAAGTGAGGGGGTTTAAGACTTTCCGTACCATTGTCGGATAGCCCTGGTCTTTCTTTCGCCTCACCTTGGACTGCGAAGAAGTCCTTTGACATTGTCAAATGGTGAAAAATAATCGGGTGGACAGGAGTGGGTTGGAAGTTGGAAGACTGGTTAAATACAAGGTGTTCGCTGTAATTTAGGGTTATCCTTTAGGGTTTAGGGTCTTTCTTTCGCCTCACCTTGGACTGCGAAGAAGTCCTTTGACATTGTCAAATGGTGAAAAATAATCGGGTGTACAGGAGTGGGTTGGAAGTTGGAAGACTGGTTAAATACAAGGTGTTCGCTGTAGTTTAGGGTTATCCTTATTGCCACTATTTTTTTTTTTAATAAAGTTTATACGTTTTTCCTGAAACAGAAGGTTTTAATGTTTCCAAGAACTTGAACTTCTGACAGACATTTTTTTCTTTAACTCTATTATATATTTAACCAGTCATCAGTAACGAGCAAATAAATGAAATTAAAAATAATTAATTCAATGGCCGAATAATAAATAAGACAAACCTAAAAAAAGATGTACTCGTATATGATTTGAAATATGTACAGTAAGTTTATGTTTAAGCTTAACGTGACATTTGTGATATAAAAATATCTAGATGCGTTTTCTGTGCTACACCTATAAATATTTAGAAAGCAATTATACACAAAAACTGGGATGAACACAAATCAGTGTGCCGCTTGCCGGTTAATATGATGCATAAACAACAAAAATTATATCTAATTCCAGCTAGTGACGGAACATAGGAAAATTACTTGCGGATATTCAGATTTTATTTGTAAATATTTACTTTATAAAAATGCAATGAAAATAAACAGATTTACCTTATTTTTGTAAATTATCTTTCTGTTACATCAACTACGTTATTATTCATTGGAATTGAAACATTTAGGTATTTTTTTTCAGTAATTGAACTGAAAAATTAGTGTACAGTTGGATTACATAACTGTGATTTGATAAGATATTTGGATTTTTTTTGTGCAATAGAATGAGATGTATCTTCAGATATTGGTGAACAGGAACCCAAATTGAAAATAATGTTGTACGAAATAGTTTGCACCTACGCCAATGGTCCTGACAATGAGACGCGATACGATCAAGTCCTAGGATAATAAACTTTTATTATGTCCAGTAATAAACAGTAATACATGATTTTTTTCTTGACGGGAACTAATACCGTGACATTTATAAAATTAGGATATTCGCTATTATGAAAAAATATAGGCGTGGGCGGTTTTCGTTAAAAAGTACTATTATTGAGGTGACTGTTATAACATTATGAGCTGTCGTTACAATAATTGCTTTTTTATGCATACATATAAGTACTTTCAGTTAAGTTTTATATACATATAACCTTCCTATAACCTAAATATGAAATCATTTTTTAGAAGAATTTTAATTTTCACTTTCACCTAGACCCACTGGTAATTCAGATTCCTCGCCCAATTAAATTAATCTGAGGACAGTTTCTGATATTCCACACTGAATTTGTTACAATATGCGCACACGTCTTTTTCGACGATTATGATACAATTTGTTGCTGTTAGCTAATATTTGAGAACTAGAAAAGAAACATGTGCATTATTGGCAAACCGAATTAAGAACGCACTCATCCTCAAATGTCGAGAGAGAAATCTGTGTTTGTAATTATTTAATTTCAAAAAGTATCATCAACTCTTAGCATATTTCCTGATGAACATCTGCTGTCCGCGCCTTATTTCCCTGCGCAGTATTTCAAATTACAAAAGGACATCGTGGAGTGACGAGATTGCGATAATATTTTAATTACACTTCAAGCCCATTTGTTATAACTTAATTCGGAATTACTTATATTTTGCAATTTGCTTATTCATTTTTGTTCAATTGATATTTGTTTAACAACTTTGTATGACGCGTTTGGCAACATAGGAAATATAGAAACTATATACAGGGTGTCCGGTAAGTACCTCCTAATCTCTCGGGAGTGTATAGGGGAGGTCAAAATAAAACTAGTCCTTCCTATAATTTTTTTGCCTAATGTGCCCCCTAACGGAGTTATGGGGGTCAAAGGGGTACCTAGAAATTAACGTTTAGGGTTATAACTTTGAAATCACCCTGTATATTTTAATAAAATTTTCGTACGTTGTATTACACATGGAGCTCTACGATTTGATGCTAAAATCAACTTTTTGCTATTATCAGGTGTCCAGAAACGGACTGGCCCTATCACAATTTTTCTCAAAATTTTGACAGAAGTAATTTTATCAAACTGAAAATATTATTATTAGATACTCTGAAGGTTTTTCTTTAAAAATGGTACTCTTTATTTATTTCGAAAAAATGAACGGTTTGCGAGATAAATCGGTTTTGAAAAAAATTGGTAACAAATACAACAACAATTAAAATTTATTTTTTTTACATATTATTTCATGCATTTAATTTCTTTAACTTTATCAAGTCCAGAAATCTTTGAACGGGTTGGCTATACTTTATGAGCAAGTAGTGACCAATTAAAAATAACATTTGAAAAATAACTTACTTACAAGACATGCAACAAAGAACATTCAACAATGAACAAAGGTACCTAAATGTTACTTCGGTAGATGTTCAAAATGAGCACCCCGTACTTCAATGCACTTTCTAATCCTACGAATGTTTTCCCGGTGCACTTGAAATAATATTCCGTGATTATTGCGGAGATGGTCACAGTTCTGTGTTAGCCTCAGCAGAAGTTCCTCTCTACTATTTACGGGTGTTGAATAAACGTTATTTTTTAAATGACCCCACAGAAAAAAGTCTAATGGGTTTAGGTCGGGCGACCTAGGTGGCCATAATACAGGTCCGCCTCGACCTATCCATCGATCACCAAAAACATTCGTCAGATGTTGACGTACTAAACGATCAAAGTGGGGTGGTGCACCGTCATGCATGTACCACATTTCAGTTCTTATTTGAAGGGGCACTTCTTCTAACAAAATATTTAGATTTTCCTCTAAAAATTGCAAATAAAGAGCACCATTAAGTCTTTGCTCCAGAATAAATGGACCAATCAAATGATTCCCGATAATGCCAGCCCACACATTCACCATAAACCTTTGTTGGTAGCGAGTTTGAACTAAAGCGTGAGGGTTTTCTTCATCCCAGACATGTAGATTATGCGAATTAATTATGCCGTCTCTTGTAAAACCTGCTTCATCGGTGAACAAAATAGATGTACCAAAATTATGATTCCGAATATGATGCTGTAAAAACCAATTGGCGTATTGAAGTCTTTTTGGATAATCATCTGGAGACATAGCATGTACTTTTTGGATGTGGTACGGGTAAAGCAATTGTTCTTTCAGAGTTTCATGTACAGCCCATTTTGTAACATTGTTTTGCGCCGCAAGCTTCCTTATGCTATTTGAAGGATTATTAGCAACGTCTTCCAATATTTGTTCCTCTACATGAGGGTCTCGTACTCTCCTCGGGGCTCCTGCTCCACCACGGCGTGGCAAAAAGCTTCCTAAATAAAGGATTCGGAAGAAATTAGTTTCACTAACGTTTTTCACTATTTTTTTTTACCTGTTTCTCTTAAACTACGATCAACTCTTTCAAAAGTTTTTGGACTCGGCAAATGTCGACCCGGAAACCTTTCCTCATAAAGTCTTCTTGCCTCCACGGAGTTGCATAATGCTTCCCCATAAATTAGGTGCATATCAGCATATTCTGCACAGGAATATTCTTCCATTTTTAAATGTTATTTCTAACGGCTTAAAACGAATACCACAATAAAATTGAATTTTTATTCTGTCACGCGCCTTTGACAAGTACTTTAAAATCAACAGGGTCTAACAACGAAAACAATAGAAAAGAACTCCATGGAGACAAGAGCAATAATAATTTGTAGATGTATTTTGGTCATAGATGTTGATTTTACAAGAAACGGCATTATTCATTCCCTTAATTCACCACCAGTAAATGTTTATGGTGAATCTGTAGGCTGGCACTAGCGGGAATGATTTTATTGTAAAAAAATAAATTTTAATTGTTGTTGTATTTGTTACCAATTTTTTTCAAAACCGATTTATCTCGCAAACCGTTCATTTTTTCGAAATAAATAAAGAGTACCATTTTTAAAGAAAAACCTTCAGAGTATCTAATAATAATATTTTCAGTTTGATAAAATTACTTCTGTCAAAATTTTGAGAAAAATTGTGATAGGGCCAGTCCGTTTCTGGACACCTGATAATAGCAAAAAGTTGATTTTAGCATCAAATCGTAGAGCTCCATGTGTAATACAACGTACGAAAATTTTATTAAAATATACAGGGTGGTTTCAAAGTTATAACCCTAAACGTTAATTTCTAGGTACCCCTTTGACCCCCCATAACTCCGTTAGGGGGCACATTAGGAAAAAAAATTATAGGAAGGACTAGTTTTATTTTGACCTCCCCTATACACTCCCGAGAGATTAGGAGGTACTTACCAGACACCCTGTATATACATTAGTCGATTAGACACCGCGTTATATATTTAAAAAAAATTATTACTTCTTGTATTTTTAAAGGTATTGTCTAACTCAAATGAAGTCGTAAACATTTCCTAAAATCCTATCAAATGGAGTCGAACAATGTTCTTCGACACCAAATATCTACGTATGCAGCAAACATGTATCTTCATAGACTAGATCTTTAACTGATGATGCAGTATATGTTTTTCAATTATTGTTATTTATTTTTGTTTCAACTTGTTTTTATTTGATAGACGATAGATAGTTGTAGAATGTATAATTGCGGTATTTTCGTGGTCTGTCATGGCCAACTGAGACGCGTTTTATAGGAAGAAAAAACGAGAAGTTAATCCAATAAAGTTGTAATCGGCTTATAGGGG